ATGGTCATGGAGCCTCACTGCCTCTAATGGTCATGGAGCCTCACTGCCTCTAATGGTCATGGAGCCTCACTGCCTCTAATGGTCATGGAGCCTCACTGCCTCTAATGGTCATGGAGCCTCACTGCCTCTAATGGTCATGGTGCCTCACTGCTTCTCATGGTCATGGTGCCTCACTGCTTCTCATGGTCATGATGGCTCATTGTTTCTCATTGTTATGGTGCCTCATTGTCTCTAATGGTTATGGTGCCTCATTGTCTCTAATGGTTATGGTGCCTCATTGTTTTTCATGGTCATGGAACCCAAGTGTCAAGAAAAAGCCCTCAACCTCAAGTGATTCTGCTGCATTTTCACATATGAATTAGAAAAGATCTTTCCACTTGTGTCACAATTTCTCCTCATATTTCTCTGCGCACATTTAAAGAATTCTCAGCGTGCGTGTAAAATTTATGTAATCAACAAATACTGTATACAATTTTTACAGAAAAAGGGTCATCACTTGCGCAACATGACCATATTATTGCTGTAACATTCCTTGCATCTGACATGTCTGCGAGTTACATTGGAAACTACAGTGTGACCTGCAAAATATTTTTTTTGTTTTTAGTTTGGGGATCGAGTGGAAGCCTGTTGGGTTTGTAGTTTGTGAAAGAGATTTACCCTGACTTGTCCCTGTCCTAGTGGCAACTGTTTCACCAGTAAATCTCCAACAGCAACATAGATCAAAACAAAGCCATAACCCCCATCAGGTTTTCTCCTTCCTATCGGGTAAAACCGTTGTCACCGGGACAGAAAGGGAGCAGATATCTCTCTAACATGGCAGAAAAAAACCTGACAGGGGGTTCTACACCTTCTCCGCTGTATTGAAAATTGGGAATAATACTTTTGGCTGGACTAACACTTCAGGTGATATCTAGACGGGTTTTTTTTGTGTTACCATTAAAAGGCAAAAATGATTTATTGATTCAGCTCGGCTAGTTCATTGACTTGCATTATCCTTTTGGTCTGTAGGGAAAAATGTGCCACCTGCTGGAGACTCTCAGGGCTGACTTGGACTCCAAGGACGAGAAGCAACTCGATCTTTTTGAAGATCACAACTTTAGTGCCAGCAGACATTTTAGAGATCCATTCGTCCGTCCCCGTGCAGTCAAGAATGATGGTTTCCGTTCTCAAGACTTTTTGGTAGAGGGCTACAAATCTAATCTAAGGTACCTCCATGGAAAGGACGATGAGCCTCAACTCCGAGAACATGTCCAGACTGGCCTGGATGAAGAAGACAAGCCAGGACCAAGCGGGTCCCTAATTTGCCTTGACAAAACGGATTTGGACCACAACAATTTTCTCAGCGGTCAGGAAGACGTTTTAGCCACCCCCCGGTCACCTGAAGCTGTGATATCTCTTCCTGAGGATGAGCTGGACACGTCTCTACAAAAAGATGACTTCTTATCTTTGCAGGACAATCACAAGGAGACGTATTCCGAATCACAAGACAACATCCATCTGTCAGAGGAGACGCCACCTGTGGACAATGTTCTCCCAGAAGACCATAATGAAATCCAGAGAAGCTTCTCCCAGATGGGTCTGAACGATCTACCAGAACTGGATCAGGACTTGAAGACTTCCCTTCAGCCAAGGGATCTTGAGGATCTGGAACAGAGCTTCTCAGAAATCATTCAAGTGTCCAAAGCTGAAGACAGTTCTGTTCACGAGACTGAGAACGTTCCCTCCGACCGCGAGGACATCTTTGATCTGGATGACTTCTAAAGGGTTAAAGTCATGAAATCAATACACACTGGTTACTGGTATGCTGTCATTAGAGAATTGGGAAGCTGCCATTGCTGCTAGCTCCACTTATAAATGCTAGTTGCCTGGCTGTCATGCCAATCCCATGCCTTCAGTGGGATCTGACCTGGAAAAAATAGGCTGAATAAAAGTCCTGACCTCACTCTTGACTTTCCGATCGGCTTGAGAAGCCAGAGAAAGCCTGGAAACTGGTATTGTAAGATGGAGTTTAGCAGTGGCAGCCCCCATGTACAGCTTTTCCTTAACAGCCGACTATATGCATTGTATATCTGACTTACGGGTAATGATATAGGGCTACGACAGCCAGATTGTAGAAATGATATCAACTAACGACCTCTAGAATTTAAAAAAAAAGGCTTCTGCATCAGCCAATAAGGGAGCAGTACAGCCATCAGTTTAGATTGCACTTCACAATATTTTTATGTAGCTCCTCAAATGCCGCTAGTTTCAGAATGATTTAATCCTCATTCATGTAAATTGGAATGCGGAATGTGAGCCAGGTATGCTCATCCAACTTCAGTACCTGACCTCACGAGTTCCCACAGACACCCTCCAAAATCTTGTGGAAAGTCTTCCGAGAAGAGTGGAGGGTGTTTGAGCCGCAATGGAAGGCCAGCTCCAAATTAATGTCAATGGGGGGACCCACTCTATATCAATGGCCATGGGGGACCAACTCCATATTAATAGCCATGGGGGACTAACTCCATATTAATGGCTGTGGGGGGGGAAGGGATTACCTCCATGTTAATGGCCATCGCGAACCATCTCCATGTTAATGTCCATGGGGGACCAACTCCATAATAATGTCAATGGAGGGACCAACTACAATTCAATGGCCATGGGGGACCATCTTCAAATTAATAGCCATGGGGGAGCAACTCCATATTAATGGCTGCGGGGGAACCAACTCCATATTAATGGCTGTGGGGGAACCAACTCCATATTAATGACCATGGGAGGGACTAACTCCATAATAATGGCCATCGTGAACCATCTCCATGTTAATGTCCATGTGGGACCAACTCCATAATAATGTCAATGGAGGGACCAACTACAATTCAATGGCCATGGGGGACCATCTTCAAATTAATAGCCATGGGGGAGCAACTCCATATTAATGGCTGCGGGGGAACCAACTCCATATTAATGGCTGCGGGGGAACCAACTCCATATTAATGGCTGCGGGGGAACCAACTCCATATTAATGGCCGTGGGAGAACCAACTCCATATTAATGGCCGTGGGAGAACCAACTCCATATTAATGACCATGGGAGGGACTAACTCCATAATAATGGCCATCGCGAACCATCTCCATGTTAATGTCCATGTGGGACCAACTCCATAATAATGTCAATGGAGGGACCAACTACAATTCAATGGCCATGGGGGTCCATCTCCATATTAATAGCCATGGGGGCCCTACTCGATATTCATGGCATATAAATGCCCATGGTTTTAAAATGGGGTGTCCAACGAGCTCGTATAGATGCGATGGTCAGGTGTCCTCAAATTATGGTGTATCCACCCACCCCCCCGGGCCTTCATTGTAATGACTAAAGTCAGAATAAATATTACAAACCTTTATTGACCGGCGGCTGAAAGAAAAAAACATTTCAGGGTTCAGCGATCCTTGAAGGAAGCGATGCCGAATGGTGCAGCCAAGGGGGCGGGGTGTATTGTTGCTGCGCTCCATGCAGAAACGCAGGAAGCGGTTTATTGATGGGAGAAAACCCTTCCAAGTTAATAATACACTTTTATGAAGTATCTCAGCCTGCTATAGACTGGAATCCACTCTGGGAAAGCTATTGATCGTTCTAATAGACGGTCCCGGCGGCAATTATAAAACCTTTAGGCAGTAAATCCCTGACAATTACCAGCTTATAAACCTATGCGGCGCTCCTAGCCAGGTGAAGAACGGACAAGTGGCGTCTTACGGGAAACACTTGTTTATTGTTACTAAAAGCAAGTCGGCGTT